AAGGGTCACATGTATCGTACAATTCAAACTAAAAAAACCAGAATCTAACTCTAAGAACTTTTCTCTTATATGAAACAAGTCTCAAGTGACAATCTATCAAGTAACAGACCTCGGTGTTCACATGGAGTCGACAGTCGCTGAGCGAAAGTGTATCGCCTGAATATTGTATCTCTCTTTTATAAATTTCTGTTTTACTTGCAACTAGCAAATTGACAAGTCGCGACGTTGCAACCTGAGAGACATCGATACTACGACGTTTTCGCGAAGGGAAAGTCGACTCCCAATCGACCCAAGTATCTCGCACTTATCTCTGCATTACCGCCAAATCCTCTCGAGATGCGGACGAGATTTCGACGTGGACGTTCGGGCGGCACGTAATCGCGGAACAGAATATTCACTACGTACTTTGCATCCCGCTATCGCAGGACTGTGCCGTGTGTAATGACACTGACGTAATGGAACATATTGTTACGCGATACGTCACGATCGCCGGACTGGCGATCGAAAGGACCTCGCGCTACGATCGTGCGACCAGTGGATGATGTCGCGAAAATGATGCGGGAAATGAAAGGAAGCGGAAATGTCCGATATATATTCGCGAGACATAACGACGGCAGGGAAAGGGACGGAGGGAGAAAGAGAGAAAAAGAGAGAGGGGAAGGTGAGGAACTCTTGAGGAATCACTTGTCACGGAGATGTCGTTGACTCTTTCGCTATTTCGACAAGGTCCTTCGTTAAGGGAGATAAACACTGTGAGAAAAACTCTTTTTAGCGAATTTTTGTAATGCCCATAAAGCAGGTAGATAAATAAATGTTTTTGCATTGAATTAATCATCTTTTGAACTGTTGAAAAATATTTTTCTATTTGATGAAGTACATTTTTATTTTGGTGTAAAATGGTCTGTAGTAAACTCTGCACGCTCCATTGGCCCTACATCTGGAGTCCTTAAAGTCATCTGAAATAAAAAAAACCCAAGATTTTCTTAAAGTATATGAAGTAGTTTCAGAGAAGAGAGAAGTTATATATATATATATATATATATATATATATATATATATAAACGTACGAAAATTTTAATATTTTAATTATTCGCAAAATAGTGCCCGTTTAAAAAATGTTCGAAAATCGTTCAAAAAAGTACTGCTTTTACTTTAAAAAAGTACTACTTTTATTGGCATTTTTTGAGGAAATTTCAATCGCAAAAAAATCCGTATACTTAATTGAAACTACATCCATGTACTTTAAGAAAATCTTGGGTTTTTTATTTCAGATGACTTTTAAAGACTCCAGGTGCAGAGTCTACTACAGACATATTTTATACCAAAATAAAAATATATTTCATGAAATAGAAGAATATTTTTCAAAAGTTCAAAAGATGACTAATTCAATGCAAAACCACTTATTTATCTACCTGCTTTATGGGCGTCACAAAAAATTCACTGAAAAGAGCTTTTTCCAGTGTTTATCTTCCTTAATCGACAAGGAGCGGCTATCGGCATAATTATTGAAACGCATTTTCGGCAGTGCGCTTAATTGAACGTCGCACCTTTCTGGTGCGCTGAAAGGTCCGCCCTACTGAAAAATTTCTATTGAGATCACAATTGAATTCCCAATTGAATTCTTAATTAAATTCTCAATTGAATTCTCAGTTGAGGTTTCCGCAAAATTTCGCATGTAAGATCTCAATTGAGATATTTGTATCTGATGGAAATAATTCATTGAAAATATAATGAACTTTTGCTGAAATATGTTTGAAAAGCATTCACAATTTTGACCCAATTTCATTAAAATTTCATTATAATTTCATTAATATTTCGATAATATTTTATTAAGAGAGTAGAAAAATTCAGTGAAAAATTATTATTAATTAAAATATTTAGAAAAGTATAATGAAGTATTATTTTGTCTAAATAATAAAAAAAAACTGGCATTTTATATTTTGTGTCGTTTCATTTATTCGTGA